CCCTGTAATAGATATTGGTGCATTACCTACAATAGTTCTTTCCCATTAACCAGCAAACTCCTCGAGAACAGGGGCTGGTTTTTGCCTTTCTTTGTATCAACACTTAGTACAAAGCCTGGCACTCAGTAGACGTTAAAGAAATGCTTGTTAATGTAACTTGATTTTCATGGTGGTCTTCTTTACAAATACTTAAATAACACAGAAATATAAAATGACCAGATGTATTAAAAAATGATGCTTCTTGTTGCCTCTGGGTACACAATAAAACCAACCAGCTCCTAAAACTCCTTTAACTGACTCTCCAAGGAAAACTTGTGAGACATCCTTTCATTTTGCTGTTAACTTTCTTCTTTATTCTAAATATCAATCATAAAGAGCACATCAAGATTGATGATTCAGTTCCAAGAAAGGATTCTTACATTTAGATTACAAACACTAGTTAAACTATACAGATGATCTAAACATACCAGAGAGAACCAGAGGAGAATAGCCCAAGCACCAAATCCCAAAAGAGGAAGGAGAAGACTGAATATGTGAATAAGTGGAATAAAATACCAAACACTGAAGAAATACTGTGAGTTAAAAGAAATACAAGAAGCAAATCCAGAAGGATAGAGTAACCGCACAATTACAAAATGAACTTCATAAAATTAAATAGTATAGTCACAAGGCTAAGAAGAGTTGCTAAAAATAAGGGGGGGGGGAAGAAGGAAACAGCAGATAAAAACAATGAAAGAATAAAATGAGAATCTGAGAGGAAAATACTGAAAGGAGAATAAATAGCTCAGAAGAGAAAACACTGGAGATATCAGAATTGAATGATTCTATGATAAGAAAAAATATTAGACCAAACTTAAGAGATTTAAAGTTAGAAAAAAAACCTTGAGTTTCTACATAACAAGTGACGTAGAAAACTGGGCCAGACAAAGTTAAATTAAGAATAATCAGACTCTCTGAAAATCATGATCAAGAAAAAAAACTCGGATACTTTATTTCAAGAAAGCATTTTTCAAACTGCCTACATCTATTATGCATGATTATACACTATGGCCGGGTTGAATTTAAACCAAAAATTCAAGATTGGTCCAGTATTAGGAAAGATACAAAAATAATATTTTGAATTACTAATGAAATAAATATGTGACATGATTAAATCAATAAATACAAGGCTTTTTTACAATACGATACTCACTTATGCTCAAAATGTTAAAAAGCACAGAATAAATGGACTGTTACTTAATATGGTAAAGAATAGCTACCTAAAACCAAGAACCAGCATTATCTATAATGGAGTACTGATAAAACCCTTTCCAAGAAGACTGGGGGTAAAGCAACAGATGGTCCATTGTCATCATTGTTATCTGATAACAGTCATAGCAAATGCTAGCTATAGAAATTAGACAAGAAAAAGAAATTGAGGGAACAAGAAGAGAAAAAGAAATTACCACTTTTTGGCTGATAATATGATGGTATACTTACAGAATGCTAGAGTTAACTAAAGAATTAACTGAAACAATTAACTTCAGGAAAGCATCAAACTATAAAATAAACCTACACAAATCATCAGTCTTTCTGCTTGCTTACCAAGAAAAGCCAGTAGGAAAAGAAAGAAAAAAAAATCCATCCAAATTAACTAGAGACCATATAAAATATAAGAGTCTGGCTATCAATATACATACAACAATTATATCAACACAATTTTAAAACACACTTTGCAGAAACATAAGCATAGAGACATCATTTGTTCACGGTTGGACCATGCTGGTAGAATTTTTAAGAGATAACATTGCCTAAATTAACCCACAATACTCAGGACCACACCAGTTAAACCACCTAAGGGTTACCTTACAGAACTAGGAAAAATTAGAATCTCAAAGGAAATAAGGGGAGGAAATGTGGGAAGGCAGGGAACCTTGTAGTATGAGATCTCAATCAACTCTATAAATCATTTATCATAGAAACTATTTGGTGTTGGTTAAAAATTTTAGAAGTTGATCACAGAATTTGAGAGTTATAAGGGACCTCAGCAACCATCCAGTCCAATCCCTATACAAAAGGAATTCTCATATATCCAACAAGTGACCATCTATCCTCTGCTTGACCAAAAAAAAACCCACCAGCATATGTACACAACACCCAGAAGCAACTGAACACAGTAGCATAGTGGCTGAGAAATGTAAAGATTCCAACTCTTCAGAGTAAAGATTCAGTATTTGGAAAAACAAAAAAAAACTACAAAAGCTGGAATGCAGCTTGTCAGAAATTAAATTTAAACCAACATCTAATACCATGCACCATAGTAAGTTTCAATTGGATATAAGATGTAAATATAATAAGCTCCAAATAAATATAAGAACTAGATAATAAAGGTCATATAATAAACAAATTAGAGGACAGAAGGAGATACCTTTCACAACTAGGAACTGATAAAAAGTTCTTGACCAAGCAAGGGGAAAACGGATCACAGAAGCCAAATGGATAATTTAGGATGCATAAGATTTTAAGAAGCTTTACATATGACAAAATACTGCAGTTAGAATTAGATGGGAAATGGTTAATGGGAAAAAAAATTTTATAGCCAATTCCATGATAAAGGCCTACTATACAAAATACATGGAGGAAGCAGGGTAAGAATGAAATTAATCCCCAGAAGATCACAGAATCATAGTACTCCAACACTCAAAAGACAACAAACTATCAACGGCCACATGAAAAAAAAATTATCCAAAAACAGCTAATAATAGAAACATAACTTAAAACAACTCTGAAGCTCCAAATCCAACAGGTAAGTAAGTAATCATTAAAAAACGAAATATTTATTTGTCGAAGGAACTACGGGGAGATACACACACTAACGCACTGTTAGTGGACTTGTAAAGTGGTTCAACCATTCTGGAAAGCAATTTGGAACTACACCCAAAAAGTTACCATGCATTGATCCAGCAATATTAGACTCTAAGACATTAATGAGATCCAAAACAATCCAAGAAAGCAGGAAAAGGAGCCATAGGTCTAAAACTATTTATAGCAGCATTTTTTGTTGTAGCAAAGAACTGGAAACATATTGGATACATATGCTTGGTTAACAATGACAAAAGTTTTAACAAATCATATAAGGCATATGAATGTAAAAGAATGTCACTGTGGGGCAGCTAGGTGGCACAGTGGATAGAGCACCAGCCCTGGAGTCAGGGGGACCTGAGTTCAAAACCAGTCTTAGACCAGACACTTGACATCAACACTTACTAGCTGTGTGTCCCTGTGCAAGTCTCTTAACTCCAACTGCCTCGCACAAAAAAAAAAAAAATATCACTGTGCCATAAAAAATGATGGAAAGGGAGGGGCTGCTGAGAAATCCGGGAGGACTTTTCTAAACTGATACAAAATGAAGTGAATAGAACCAAGAGAACAATGTGTACAAACACTATAATACTGTAAAGGGAAACAACTGTGGAAGACGTTTGGCCTATGATTAATATAATGAGCAAAATTAGGACTCCAAGAGAATGATAACAAATCATAATTCCCACCTCTTGGTCTAGAGGTAATAGTGTGGAATGAGCCAAGTACAGATGTGGAATAAGCCACATTTTTAGATATAACCTGTTAAGTCTGTCTTCTGGGGTTCTATTTATTTTTCCCAAACGTTTTTCTTGTATTTGAGGGGGGTGAGATGAAGGTGGAATATGTAAGATAATGTTAAAAAAAAAAGGAGAAAGAAAAGCATGTCAATGAATCATTCAAAATATGAATAGAGGAAAGCAAAAGGAAATTCAAAATTCACAAGTAGAACAGTGTTATAACTACTGTGATGAGTTAGAATTATGTTCATAGTGGAAAAATGTACAGAAAATAATTCAAGTTCACAGCTTCAAATACTTTTATTTTTCTTTGCCTACAGAAATGTTCATTTTTTGATGTTTAATTAAGGTCATAATAAAAAAGAAAAAAAATTTAAAAGATATTATGGCAATATATTAGTGATAAAATACGGGATACAGAGCTACATTTTTAAAACTGCAGAACAGTGAAAAAAGGAATATCACAATGACAATATTAATGATAATAACTCACTCACCGAGTATCTAAAAACTATTTTTTCCACAAAATTTTTTGACCCTCCAGTTTCTTTTTATACCCTGCCTCATTTTCTCAGAATCTTTTCAAAGGTGGGTTTCTTTTGATTTTACTCCAAATTACCCATAATTAAAATCAGTTTCTCTTTTTCTTGCCAAAAATTTAAGGCTAAATATTGGTTTTGATTTTCAGTATTTCTTCAACTCTTAATTTTAATATGGCATATACTTTTCCTCATTAAAGACAACTCAAACTAGTACTTTATAAAAACCTTACCTACAATGTCCCAAAAACAGGAATAGGAGAATTTTTGTCAGAATATTCACAGAGGCAGAATTGTGTTTCCAAGGCTTTAGATATAGACATAAACATTACATGTATTATCATGAACCTATCAAACTTTTATACTTTATTGTTAACATTTTCTAGCAAAGGAACCTATGAATTTGATGAAATAAAACTAACCAAACAGAATAGAAACTGTCAATTATAGCTATGGCCAGGTTTTTTTTTCTCTCTAAATGCCAGAAAACAAAATTTAAAACTATTTATAAAATTCTGAAATAGTACACAGCAAATGCAACTCCCAATAGCACAAACTGTGATCAATTTAATAGTCAAACAATTACAGACTCGATAACAACACTGATATATAACATATATATGTACATATGTATATATGTATGTATATATAGTCTCATGAATGTAAATAAACTGGTTCAAAGTAAGACACTATGAAATATTTACTGGGAACGATAGAATCCTTCTCCCTAACATTTATAATTAAATTGAATATGATATGCATGATTTTCATTATCTCCTAAAAGAGCAATGATTGAAAAGAAGGAAATCAGTTAAGGAGGATTAAATATTACCCAGAATAATTTACTCTGACATACCCACTCTCCTCCACTGTCACATACCTTGGATGCCTGAGGTGTTGATATTACATGAACAGTGCTTGGCTTGACTCCATTAGCCTTTGAGCGTTTGTAAAGAGCAAACCTGCTTTTCCTACGTCCTCGGTCTCCATTAGGAAGTGCACCATTGTACCTACAAAAACAGGTGCAAGAGTTGACATATTTGAAAAATGAGATGGTAACAAAGTTTGGATAAAACAAGGGAAAAGACAATAAATTATAAAACATTTGCCACTAAATAATGTCCCACAGAAGGAAAAACTGGCTAATACACACCTTATTAGTGACCAAATTTTAAATACCAAATTGGAGGGTAATTTATAGGTAATTACAGGTTTCTTATATGACAAGGTTGGTGCTAGCTGCATTGACAATTTAGTAAACATACATTAAACTTTTTAGTTACTGAACCTAGGGAAAGTAGAAAATCTTTGTTTTATCTCCCCGTCCCACCCTGGTTTCCTTTTGTTTCCTAGTCAAAATATTTAAAAAACAACATACTAAGTGAAAAGCAGGGTGGCTCAGGAGATAGTTGCCTTCAAAAAGTCAGTAAGACCTGTAATGTATTTTAAAGCTCTAAGCTTCAGAGAAGGAAGGCGATGGCCAGCATTTGCCAAGTAAGTTCTTCAAGGGACCTTCCACCTATGAAGTTACAGATTGGATTTTTAAAAAAATATATGCTAAGTAATCCCCACCATTTTCAGATATAGCCATTTAGGGAAATGTTAGTTGAAAGGAGATCAAAATTACTATCTTACTTTCCAAAAACTTGAGCTCATCACATTCCTTTATGTCCCCATATAAACTCTGTATCAGGAAGGAGCTGGAAAGGCAGCTGGAAGCAGTACCAGTAGAGTACAGTACTGATCTCTAGCCTCCAAGTCACACCCAAAGAATCTCTGAACAGTCAGAGCAACGGCAGCAGGCAGCCCGTACCCTAAGGCAGGCAGAGCAAACGTGAAAGGCATGCCTTCACCCAAGCTCAAATAAGAGGAAGACCTCAGAACTACTGGTCAGGGGGGAGCCACACAAACAGTGGAGACCGCTTGGGGGAAGTGTGTGGGTCTAGCTAGACAAAGAGCTGGAAATGCATTACCCCAGAAGTTCACGGGCGCTGGCTGACTTCAACAACTGTTAACACTGTCCTGAGGATTCGGAGCCGTTCACACGTACAAACCTAACGAGCAGCTGTAAATGGCTCAATATCAATGGGGCACTGTTACCACGCTTGGCAATGGGCCACTCATTTTACCAATGACTTGGATAAAGGCGTAGATGGTATCTTTCTTTAAGATGGTGGAGGGGATAAGAGGTAAAAGTAATAAACATTTATTAAGGACCTACTGCGTGCCAGGCGCTGTGCTAAGCGTGTCACAAATATCCCATTTAATGCTCACAACAACCTGGGAGGGTGGCAGAGATTAACTGACTTGCTCAGGGTCACACAGTTATTAAGCATGTGAGGGTGCATCTGAACTCAGGTCTTCCTGACTCCAGGTCCAACACTCTACTCACTGTGCCACTTAGTTAATAAAACTGTGGAAGAAAATTCTGTGCCTTCCATTGCAGGCACAAGCCTGTCAATAACAATTTTTATTCATGTGAATTATTTTAAATGTAGGCATTTTCCTGCTTAGAGAATGTCCAAGTGACTGAGTCTCCTTAGGCCCCCAGACACTTCTCTAACACAAGTCATTTTTAAGACATATTTTAAAGGATTCTTGAGCAAGGAAAAATTCATAATATAATAAAACATAGTTACAGAGCACCAGATAAAAGTTAAGATTTTGCTTCATCAAACACAAATATAGTTACTTAATCTTTCAGCATGTTGTGGAGAAGCTTTTCTTAAAACTAACCAAATCCCACTTTGACCACTCCCTTCCAGGGTTCTGTTTTCCAGCTGATCCAAGGTGGTTGACCTGGATACTTCCAAGGTCCCTTTCCTGCTCTAAATCTATATATGATCTATGATTTGTCCCAAGGCAAGCAGGTGGCAGGGACAGGACCCAAACCCAAGTCTTTCAATTTCTGATCTAGTGTTCTTTCCAATCTTCTCAACACCTCACACAGACACCTCTTCTCCATTGACACCACTACTACCCTGGGGCCTTGAGGCCCTCATCATCTCATTCCTGGACCCTTCTGGTCTATCCTGCACTGAGATAGCAAAGTGATTTTCTTAAAGTGTTGGTGTGACCATCTCACCCTACTATTCAATAAACTCCAGCGTCTCCCTATTGCCTTCAAGATCAAAATACCAAATTATTTGTTTGGCTCCCAACCTCTTCAGTCTTCTTACATCTTACTTCCCTCCAGGTACTGTATTTGCACTGGCAACTGTGACCCTGTCTTCTTTGCTGTTCCTCGAACAAGACAATCCACCTAGACCTCCCATTGTATGCATTTTCACTGGCTGTCCCTACTCTCTGCTTCCTGGCTTCCCTAGCCTATTTCAAGTTTCTGATAGAATCCCACCTTCTTCAAGAAGCCTTTCTCATGGGGCAGCGAGGTGTCACAGTAGATAAAGTACCCGCCCTGAAGTCAGGAGGATTTGAGTTCAAATACAGCCCCAGACACTTAGCCTAGTGACCCTAGCTGGGCAAGTCACTTAATCCCAATTGCCTCATTCAAAAAAAAAAAAAAGCAGCCTTTCCCGGTCTTCCTTACTGTTAGTGCCTTCCTTCTGAGATGATTTTCACTTTATGCTGTACAAATCTAGTTTATACATAGTTGTTTGCTTGTCCCATTAGATTAGAAAGTTCTTAAGAGCAGGACTTGTCTTCTGCCTTTATTTATATTCCCAGCACCTAATACAATGTCTAGTACATAGGAGGGCCTTAAATTTGTCATTTTATGTAGGTGACTTAGAAAACCACTGTGTTACAGGCAACAAGCAGTTATCAAGCACACGCCATGTGCTTGGCACTATGCTAAATGCTGGGAATGCAAAGACAAAAATGCAAGTCATCAGCTCTCCACAACTTTACATTCTATCCACATAAAAACCTGGGCCACAAATACTTAAAAAGTCACCTGAAAAAGCCAGTAAGTCCTACAAGCAGTTTCACATACTAACATGCCAGAAATGCAACATTATGTTTTGCTTTTCAATTTTCAAGTTCTTTTTCCAATTCTGATTTAACTAGTTTCACTCTTTTCTAAATAACGTCCTCTTTTATTACCCACAAATGGGCAATGACAACTGTTCAGTTATTTTACCCCTTCAATGATCCTTCAAAAGGACAAAAGACAAAAGATACCAAAGATGTCATTCAAAATCTTGTAGGAAAATGTTGGCACCATTCTAAAGAGCATAACAGAAGAGCTGGGGTAAAAAACCTCTAGCTGCTTGTCCTACATTCGTTTTAGACCATCATCTGAACTGTCCTGGACAATTGTTGGGCCCTGGTTGCTTTTACACTCTGCCTGACACTGTGGTCGCAAGCAGATAAAAAAAAATAGTGCAACTATTAGAAAAACTCATCCAACCAACAAAAAGCAAATGGGGTCTGTTGGCACAGATTAAATGAAATATTGAAATAAAAAATTTAAGGGCATGTTAAATACACTAAGAAGTTCACATTTTTTTCCCACTGGGAATTAAAATTTCCAGTCTCTTTTGAGTTCTGGTTTCAAAAGAGCACAATTCAGGCACAATTCTGGGATGTCAACAATACAATGCTTTCTAAAATAAAAAAAATATTTTCCAACTTATTCTATGTATTATCACAGTAAGAATTTATTTACCTTCTTAGTCAGCTCAGCCTCTGAGTCTATGGGGAGTACAGGGAGCACAGAGGCTTTTCAGCACTGGAAATCACAATGGTTGAGGATTACCAATGTCCTGAGGAGTTAAATGAAAACTTCTATTCATTGATTCTTTGTTATCCTATCCCATCATTAGATAGTAAGAAACATCCCCAAAATTTTAGTCTAAATCATGTTCATGAGTCAAGGTAAGAAGTCAATAATAATGATATAAATATGGGGTCAAAAGTAAGGACTTAGTCAAAGTACATCCTCGTCTTACCCCTGGATATGCTAAGGCAGGTATTGTAGAAGTTGAAGGATATTCCTTTCAGAGGACAAACAGTAAGGGGAAAAATACCATTCCAATGGGCCAGGTCCCCTGCCTGGTCTCCAGCTTCCCTTGGGAAGTTGAGAAATGGCATTCTATCAAGTCAAGTCACCAGTTTGGTCTCCTACCCTGAGGAAAGGACAGTAACACCATTCTCAAGGCCAAGAACCTGTAGCCTTGCCAGAATCGTATAAAGCCCTGGGAGGACTCCATTCTGAAGCCAAATTCCTATGGACATTGTAAATCTACCTAAACTAACTTCTCAATGAATAACAAACTCTCCACTGTTCATACTTTCCCCATTCCAATGATCCTGAACCCTCAAGGGTCATCATCCTGTTCCTGTCCCACACTGCCCAATCTCTTAGTCCCACTTCTTTACACCAAACCCCACCAATATCCCACTCTAAAGCTACCTGCCCCTTCCACTGTGCTCTCTGGAATGCCTACTCCATACACATAAACTCACTTTCACCTTAAATCTTTTCCTTTCCCACTCCTCCATCTGCTGGCTCTCACTGAGACCTGGCTTTCTCCAGAGAACACAGTTTTTCTGGCCTCCCTTTCCAGTATTAGCTGCACTTTAACTTATAACCCACCCATCACCCACCCCCCGCCATTCACTGGTTGAGATGTGGAGCTGGAATACCCCCTCCAACTCACTTCCACTTCCAGGTTCTTCTAGTTACCACCATCATTCAATAAGCTCTTCTCCTTTGAGATTCATTCAATCCCTACCTACAACCCAATCCAAATTCTGGTAGCTGTAGTTTACTGACCTCCAGGACACTCCCATTCTTTTCCTCAATCACTTCAATCTCTGACTCACAGCCTTTCTCTCCTTCTCATCTCCTGCTGTCAGACTAGAGGATGTCAACAAACATATTCATACTCCCTCAAATACCCTAATCTCACAGCTCCTCAACTTACTCATTTTCCATAATCTACTCCTCCACCCCCACACAAAATGGTCATATTCTCCTTGATCTTGCCATCATCCAGAAATATACCATTTCTCTGTCCATGAGCTCTGAAATCCCCTTCTGATCACA